GGGATTATCTTTGCCAATAGCTATTAGGGCTGGGCTTGCATGCTACATGCACGTGCCCCGTATGTGGTATGTTAACGACTACTGCACGTGCATGCAGTCTTCCTAAGATCGTAGTGCAACTCAGTACAAGGCCTCCTCTCTTGTGCATCAACATTCTCATGATCCCATGCCAATCACTGTAATGCTCAGTGTGAACTCACTTTCCGAATATAATTGAATTGACAAACAAAGCTCTTGATAACCCCCTTGAATTGCTTTTAAAATTATCACCCCCCCCAAAAAAATTTTCAAACTAGCGAAGGTATGTAGATTTTTTGCTCATCTCAGAAAAATCCTTCAAAGTATTTCCTCGCATCCCATTTAGTGGTGTACTTGGGGGCAGGGAGACAAGTTGTCTCTCCCCCAACATGCTGTAATTTTTGTTTGTTTGTTGGGACATTTGTTTGTTTAAGGAATTGAAAGGGCTAACACTTTCAAATGGTACTTCCACCTTTGGTTGGGTGGTGAGTATTCTTTTATGGATAAAAAAATTGTTACCCTTCCTTTGTAGAAATAATTCCACCACCACCTCACCCAAAACCTGGATACACCACTGATTTCATTGTGTGTATTTGGTTAATTTCCGCATGGCTCACTGCTGTGAGATATTAATGAATATTTCCCTAACAACTTTATTATTACCCTGAACTGTGGACTGGTTCCATGAAAATCAGATTAGTTTTAACTGCCCTTATCACACATACATTTCAGTTGTCACATGATGCACCAGATGAAAGGCATCTGCCATCAGTGTCACCTTTAACCTTGCCTCAATAGCTATTGGATTCACACCAATTTGGAGATCTTTCTAGGATTTGAAACCCATCTGTGAAGCGATCCTTGACTAGCCTTGTTTGCTAAGAGTTGTGCCAGATTTCCCAGCAAGAAGTACATGTAATTCAGGATGTTGTTGAGCTGTAGTGTGTATATCAGTGACCCACTTCTAATACACCGTGAGGGAAGTGGCTTCGGTCTATTTTCCTCTTTTGAACCTGAGAACTTAGTTGATAAGCAAATATCACAGTCAAGTGAATGAAATCCATGTGAAGAAAAGCATTTATGTATTGTAAAAGAAACATCATATTTTCGAAAATGCATAATTTTCAGAAGGACAAGGGAAATGGTCATTGCTTTTTCAAACATTTATTGCTCATGGCTAAAGGTCAGCACCCATACCGTGGGGAAAGATGAATTATATGTGTAGTAAAATGGAAGCTGTGCTCTGTGATTTTTTTTAAGTTTCAGGAGTTACCCTGAAACCATGAACAGATCTCAGAATGCCTGCTTGGGATGTTCATTGCATACACAGCACAATACCAAGGATGATCTGTTTGTGTATTTTATAGTTCATCTGTGAATTGTGGGTCACCTATCATTTAAACCAGTTCAGTGATGCCCTTGTTAAAACAACAAGGTGTCTCTGAGCAGAAAAGAATGTTTGCAGGTCTAAGATAAAGTCATAACTTCACAGAAGGTCATCTTTTCTGTCGAAAAGTGCATGACCAATGCTTTGCCTTTCAAAAGGAGGGGGGGAGGATTCCTTGCTTGCAGTTGGCTCAGTTGTCGGATGCGCAAATCCATATTGTCGGGTCAGAGTAAACAGGTCAATACCGGTTTCAAAACGGATTTCCCCTCCCAAATGCGATGGCGGCACTTCCCCCTTTACACAGCCCGGCTTCTCTTCCTCTTCGCCCCCCTCCTTGGTTGTCTCGTCTTTAGAGCAAACACACCCGGCATCGCTAGCAGCTGGGCTGTAATGCCAATCTGTTCCAGCTGACTGCCGATTGGCGCAGCCCGAGCGTGTACTCCCCTTCGTCTTCCTCTCTCTATCTCCATCATGTCAGCTGCAGCATCCTGTGACGACAAACCCAACACAAAATGCCTAGAACAGCTTTGCTGCCGGTGACAAGATTTATCCCCGTGCTTTACTGCACTCACATGAGACTGCTGGAAACTTACCAGCTTATCAGCCATATTTACATCAGTTCTGATTTAACTCAAAAGCTCATCCAAGAATATTTTCATGGGAACAGTCATCGTTACTATTTTGTCTGTTAGTCGCTATCTCCTATAGTCTTTATGTTATTAAAATTAGTTGATATTTCTTGGCTACAGCAGTGACAACATTGTTCATGTGACAATAGCATTATTTTGAAAAATGTATTTTGGGTCCTCTAATGACACGAGGGCCTTGGAGATGAGTGCCTGTACCGATACACTGTATTAAACCTAATGATTCATGCCCTGGCTGGCACTGTGTTATGCATGGAGCAAGGACATATAACCAGGTCCAACTGGAGAAGGAGAATCGGTGTAAGGTTGGGGAGACAGCTGTTTTGTTTGAAAATTTTGAAACCAGGTGTGACAGGGAAAACTATCATCCTTACTATCCTGTGTGCATTCCACAAGACAATTCTGTGTGGGTTGGTCTTCCCAATGCTGGGGGAGAGGGGGCAGTTTAGTTTGTTTGGAAAATCGAAACCATGGAAAAGTTGTCCCCGTAGTAATGTTATATTTCAACACATGTTGTCTCCATAGCTTGATAACAGGTGTGTGTCTTTGTGTGGCTAAAGTGTCAGTTTTAAGTTTGTGTTGACCAGTAACATGAGGCAAAGGTGCACCACCAAGAATATCTGATTGGAATTATTTGGTAAGGTTCAGGTGCATTGTGGGAGTTTTAATTTAATTTGTTACTCTGTGTTCAGTTGTGAACAAGTGCTGAAATGTGTGTGTGTTGAGGAGGCCAAAACAAAACAAAAACAATAGGCCATTCGCTTTGAGTAGTAAAACACTCTAGCGTGCAAAGGAACGACAGGCTGGTGGGAAGCATGTTGCAGTGTTCCCTTGAAATGTATGGTCTCTGCACGGGCGCACAGCGTACATGCAATGATACATTTCAACAGAGGCTGGTCACGCATGCCCAGCTCATCGTGTGCCAAACACACATTAACCTATGCAAGCATGTTCCCCATCAGTGGATGTTGTTCATGCACTGAGCGGATGTGGGCTGAGTTGGGTCATATTTTCCGTCCTCAGCCTGGCAACCCCCACACAAGCATTTTTTAGCATTTCAGCAATGCATACCATTGCATTACGGTATTAATACACCATTATCACACATTGCCATAAATTCTCTCACAACATGCATAATAATGTGGATTTTTTTGTACAAGTCGGAGAGAAAAGTAATATTTGTGGATGCGGATTGAGAAACTTCTCATTATTCTCATATGGCCAGCGTTGGATATTATCACATGTCTTTTTCTTATAGCTACAGTAATTGCAAGTGGTATCAGGTTGACATGGATACCCTGGCTCAACCCTGTGTTGCTGCTGTTCACAGCCCTATAACCCACTGTGACAGGCTGTGACCTCCCCTGTAAATTTGTGAATTTTCCCTTTTGAAATCCACAAAGGTTTCTGACAGCTACAACAGTCCTCTTGACTGGTGCTTTAACATCGATAATTTTCCTTACATCCTAAAAACAACTTCTTTTAAAGAATTAACACAGATGTTGCCAAGTTGCTGCTGACACTGGCTTTTATACATAGGTAGAATAGTGATCCCACAAAATATATTACATGTATTAAGATTATGGAAAACGATACTTCAAAATTGCATTTCATGACGACAGTGACGCACTGATGTTCACTTCCTGTTCTTCACACTCAGCCATCTGATTGGAGAAGCACAAGTGTGCTGTTGACACAGTGTTTTTATTGATGTTCATGTAATGTACCGTGGCATCTGCTAATTATTCAGTCATGTGCCTCACTACATGGGCTCATGATGGATAGAACAGCAGCACTGCGACGTTCCCAAATTTATATTCATATCACAGGGAATATGTTTTGCAACACTTTCTGAAAAATAGAGGAAAAGAAATTAATGACAAAACTGGTTACATGTATTTGGAGCTGGAGATTAGAACCGATGTTTTCGAAAGTACAACTCCTCACAGTAATTACAAGCCCAAACCGATAATACTATGACTGAATGAATTAACATGCCTTGTGGCCCCTTTTGTTCAGTGAGCTTCAGTCAGCTCACGTCCTCAGTGTGGATCAACATATGCTTGCCATGAAAAGGAGCTGTCAGGTTTCACTGGCGAACATTTTCCTCCTTCCATTTAGGACATTTCTTTGATCTTAATTTTAAAGTCATCGACATGAAAAACCAAGGAAACTCTCTGTGAGAAATTCTTGATCCCAACCTCAGTGAAACTTGAATATATGGACAAAACCTGCAGATGATATGAACAAATGATTACATATTTTTGCAATTTTTGGAAATGGTTCTTGGCACTCATTCAAATAAAATGGGAAAATAGCATATTGGGAAATCATGCTAAATGGAAATGTTACTTACTTTTAAAAGGTTCACAGAAGTCAAGATCAGTGAGCATTACTGAGAAAGGGTTGCACATTGGTTTATTGCACATCGGTTTATTGCACATTGGTTTATTGCACATTGGTTTATTGCACATTGGTTTATTGCACATTGGTTTATTGCACAAGAATGAAAAATTGTAGAAAAAGGAAATTAAGGCTGACCAAATTTGAAAAAATTACAGCAATTTTTGCTCACAAATCAATCTTACATTGAGGTTTTCCTCCCAAGATGACATCATGACATCAGTCTTGCTTGTTATATGGAAATACTCATTACCATGAAAAAACAAAATGTGTCAATAAATCCTTTAAAATTGCAAAACAGACATTGAAAACAAGGTTTTTTAGGCACAAAGGCATCTTTTCAAGGAGTGTTTTTTAAGGAATTGCATTGACCAGTTAAACTATAACACTGTCAAAAAGTACCAGAGGGAAAAAAAAATCAAAATGCACTATATGAGGGGTCCTCCTTAATATCCCCCTACAGCTTATCCATAATTGATTAACGACAGGTAGTGAATCATATGTCACCTGAAACTTCTTCAACTGACTCTCCTTGGCACTTGCAGGTTCGGGAGCAGCACATTCACTACCAAAGCCAGAAGTGTGTGATCACAGAGGAGCGTAACTGCCCCGTCTGCAAGAAGCGAATGGGCAACAGCGCTTTTGCCCGCTACCCAAACGGTGTCGTCGTACATTACTACTGCGCCAAAGACAGATCCGTCTGCCCAGTAGAACCCACATGATGAATGGGGAACATTGGTCGATCTCTCTTGGTCTATACAGATTGTTTTTAGTATCAAATTATCAATCTGTCATTGTTTAGAAAAAACAAATTTACCCTTGCGTTGTATCGCACTCGCCAACAAGGGAAGAAGGGTGCCAAAAATTTCATTGTCAGTGACTGAAAATGTGGATTTTAACAAAAACCCAGAAAGTCTTCCAACAGGAAATTGGGTTTAATAGGTACAGCATCATGTGAGGCATTTTTCTCAGAATTCTTTGCATATTGCATGAGACCGTGAAATTTATCTTTTATCTAAAAGAAAGATCATTGTGACGCTGCTGTAAAAGTAACAAGTTGAAGAGGTGTGAAAAATTAAAAGCTCAAATCTGAATAGTTCTGAACTGATGTTGAGAACAATTTAAAGAAGCTTGATTTCTTGTGATATACACGTACAAGAACACATTAACAAATGTGCATGTGTATAAGCACATCTAAGAACTTGTGTGAGAAAAAAACATTAGTTTTATCGCTGCATCGTTGAAAATTCTTTCTAGATTGATGTGTCTCTCCCCCAATTATTGGACTGTTCCATCCTTCTTACGTCTGTTCTCTATTTTGGTTTTTCATCATAGAATGTATTGGAAACAATGTTTGTGCTAATTTTATAAAACAAAGCTTATTTAATAATGCATGTATTTGTGAGATGTCTCATTTTTTTATCCGGTGTCAAAAAAGGCACCTGTGAATATGCAGGATATTTTGCTGTTGGACAAATTCTTAAGTCTTCCCCGAGGGGATCACTGCATTTGGTAACCATGTTTCAAGAATCCACTGTCAGAAGGCCACCAGGTGCTGTCAGCAAGCTCCGACAAGAAACACTGGTTAAAACAGAGTCGGTGGATGACTGCACCTTCCTCCTATCCTGTACATGGTCCCTGCATCAGTGCATGTAGATAGATGTCCAGTTCTCGTTTGAGGTTAATTCCACGCCAATGGTGAACTCCCGTGACCCTGATTGAGCCAATTAGGATAAAGAATTAGTCGGTGGTTGTTCAGACTCATAACAATGATCAATGCTAGCCAGAGACTCCTGTCTGATACACAATTGAATATTGTCCTCAGTCGATGTGGATAGAGTGAATGAGTACAGACCTGTGACCTATCTGCTACAATGAAAATATTATAGGTGTGTTGAACTTGTTGCTTTAAGGTTGCAAGAAGCTTCAAATCTGAGTGAAAGATTTTGTTGAATACCTTGTGTATTATTTGAAATTAAAATAACAGTATTTTTTCTCAACATTTGTAAAAAATAAATTGTAATTGCTCACTTGTAAATAATGTCTTGGAAGAAATTTCTGTTATCTCTCTACTCCAAAACATTTAAAATGGTAATAGTTGAACATGCACCAGTCAAAATATGTTCCATCAGATCTGTAAATATTTGGATCTTATAATTAGCAACTCCTAAGTGAAGAAAATTGTTATTCAATAAATAACAGATTAAATCTAACTTTACATTTGTATTGGTTGTTGTTTTCTGTTTTTCCGTCCCTTGAAAAAGTTACATAACATGCACTGCCAAAAATAAAAACTTTCTTGAAGTTTACAACTGGACCTTTTAAAAGAATCTAATTCAATGTATTAAATGCAATCCGTTGTGCCAACTTCTGAGAACAAGTTTTAAAAGCCCAGTTATAAGTGATGACATTTACTTCGGCTTAAACACAGTTGTAAAAATGTCTGTGGACTTCGGATTCATTGTAAATTCGAAAAGTGAAAAGCCGACACTTTTAGTTTTACGCTCCAATGTCGCCATGCCATTTTCACCCAAGTCAAAAAATACCGTGGAACACCTTCCGACCCGAACATTCCACTTGGGCAAATGAATTGGCTTGGCTACAGGAAGGTTGCACCCGAAAGCTTGGCCTTCACCCCACGCATACCCCTGGGGTATAATTCAACACCCTCGTAGTTAAGGTGTTGGTGCGATCCCATCCAGGCCAGGTACACGAACTACTCAGTCACTTCACTCCATCGAAAACAGACCCACTTGTAGAATGTTATCGTAACCACAATAAATTTCTGAAAATGAAATGAAAAACTATTTCAAAGAGCAAATTACTGAAATTTTAAGTTTGCAAATCTCTTTCCTGAAAGCTTTTTTTGTCGAAGCGTCCATCGAGCACAGCACCGTGCTAGAAAGTCACACACGAAAACAAACACACGGCTATTTGTGGAGAATATAGCCATACAAAAAGCTTTGTCCTGGGTTTGTAGCTCTATGGTCCTTTGCAGACGTCTGGTTGAGTCAACTGTCCGTTATCTGTCTTATCTTCAATGTCGTGTCCTAAACAGTACGCGTAGGTGTCGCTGGGATGTTTTTTTTCGGGGGAGGGGGTTGCAACCACCTTTTCCCTCAGGGGAATTATCCAGGGGGAACATTCATCAGCTTTCAAATGATAAACAATGGCTGGAGGGGAGTTCTATTTCATCCTCCCCTCTTTATTCTCAAATCTCTTTTCGGGGGGGGGGTTGCCTCTCTTTTACACGACGCTTATGACCGTACGATTGTTACAACTTTATGTAAATTCCACTTCCCTAGTTTTGAGAACCGGGAATCACCCCACCCTCCCACAACTTTTGGATACCGCGGTGCATGGACCGTACTTCGAAAAACGATCGACCTACCACCACCCACCCTTCCATCCGGCACAACACTTACTGGTGTGTCTCCGCACTTCTGCCGGCCATGTGTAAGCCATTCCTCCTCATTGGTACACCGTGCAGGGATAATACGGAGGGTGGCAAGCCTAAGTCCGATAAGGGTCCGACTTATAGGACGTGGACATGAAACGTGTCCTATTTTCTGCCAGTCTGTCCCCCTTTTTTTTCTTAATAGACTAATAATTCTGGAACCCCATCTATTGCCTTTGTCACCATAACAACAATCAACACATCGACAAGTTACAAGTAATAATTGACAATCTCTTTGTCGTGATTTCAGTTCAGGATTGAGCGATTTATTACTGTGGTTTTCTCACCGGCCCATAAACTTTAATCAAGAGGCTTGTTTACCAGCAAAATCTTACATAGCTTGAATACTCAAAGTCTCGGTACCCGGGTTCAGCTGACTCGGGTCAGGGAGGAAGGACTCCATGCTCGGGTGGACAAATCGTGCGAGGAAGTTGCGGGCAGTCTGCTACCAGTGTAGTATGCAGCGAAACCTGACGAATCAGCCCGTTTTAAGTGGAAAATGTATATTTTCCTGCCCTTTTGAACGTCTGTGCTGAGCGCTGGTATTCAAAAGCGTCCAAGAAGGTTCATGCGCTCTCTGCCAACTAAGCCCTAAAGGTTGCAGAAAAAAATCTTACCCTGTTAAAAAAAATCAACATAACATTGAATACAGGATTGCGATTAGAAATAAAACCGTTCCTCTTCACGGTAAGAAATGGAAATTTGGATTTTAATATTAACTTTCTGTGCGATCATAACATTAATTTGCAGGCCACATTCGTTTTTAAACTCTTTCGTGGCTTTCATTTTATGAAGTATTTCTTCCACTTGTACAATTGTCTCAAATTTTCTTTATTTTTGTTGATTTCTGTTTTGTTTTATCAATGTATATTTCTCGTTTGCAAATCAATAAAACCAAGCAAAGAGATAAAAAACATATTAAAATGGATGCTTGGTGGTCGACTAATTAGGTCAACGCTTATCCTTTTATATACATGCAGGCGCGAACACTCAGCACGATCGCGTGGTGTCAGCCAATTCCATATACCCCCCCCCTCTTCGAAATAATCTTCTAGAAATGCGACAATTTAGAAAGTAAAGCCGATTGACCGACGGTGGAATTATTGGCAAATCATATAATAATTATACCTCAGCCCTGCTAGGCATTGATATTGACAGTCCTTATAGTGATACCTGCAGGTGCATTCGTGCCCAACATCAGGTGCGATCAATTGGTTGGACCACGACAAACTTTCAGCAATAGGTCACTGATAATCACAAAATCTTCTGCTGTCAAATTCGTCTTCTTCTGGTTTTTCGCATAAATATGGGACATGTTTGTTCGGACTCTGAAGTCGCAGCATCTGTGATCACGTACCCTGCGCTCATCGCGAGGCCTTGCCTGGTGTTTACTAACACCGCAACACCACTTTGACCGCACGACCCCCCCCCGACCCTCAATTGAATCTCATACAATACCCCACGTACACACGCCTCGGTAATGTACCGGTACCTGTAAGCTACACAAGCTTTGAAAAGTGGGGCAAGCCGACATCCCATAATAAGCACCAGATACGCTTACGTTATGTACGGATCACAAAAGAAATCAGTCCGCAAAAGTTTAAAAAATCTATTTTGTGGCCGATTCTAGGAAAACGAAATGATGTAAACCGATTAACTTCTTATCATACGTAATAATCAATAATAATAAATGAAGATTTTCCCCCTTTCAGTGGAAAGACGTTGATACATGAAAAACCTTGGGATTTACATTACATAGGGCGGATGACTACTGTCTGGCAGGCTGTTGTGTGCAATACGGTTGATGCTTGGACTGTGGATTCTTCAATGGGGGTCCGATTTCGTGGATGATCTGGAATACAATAATTAATTTAACGCTGCCACAAACTCAACAATTCATTGGAATAAACTTGGACTATAGTACAATCCCCATAGAATAAGGTAAGTGAGGAAACAGTTAAATAATGGTGGTCTGAATGGCTGGAAACATCATATTTTTTCGGTGTACATGTTTTCGCCATTCGTTTATACACGCTGTTGGAGATCCCCGTATTCAAATGTGCAGCATGCCCTGCCCATTTCAACATAGGCCTACCCTAGGGTGCATTGGCTGGCTCGCTGTCGATGCCGACTGACTGGCTTCGGGAAGATTCATCTTAGCAAGGCAGTTTCTTTCTTTATAGTTTGCCAGATCGCCTGTTATCGCACCTACCACCCCATGACATGTGAAATCTTGTGTAAAGAAGGCTTTGTATTGTAATCATGGTAATTCTGCTGCCGGCCGACATGGCTGAAACTTGTCCTTGGTGTTGAACATGTAGGATTTGAAGGCTAGAAGGTTGAGGCCCTTAGTGAGCTGGTGAGGGCCTAACAGAAAACATTCAGGGAAACTGAAGCAACCTTTTTTCTTTAAAGCATGTTTAAAGCAAGAATGCTCTGCCAAACTTTCAGAACAGTTTCTGGCGGTAGGCCCTAGTAGCTTATATTTTGACCAGGCAAATATGAGCTTTAGCCTAGATTCGTAATTTGAATAATGAAAACCACTTTTATCTCAACCTTTTGCTTTTTAACATTAGATGGTGAGACCAAATGTTCAGTAGCTTGTACTGTTGAAGGATGTCTTCATCCTTCCTCCATGTTTGTACATGACAAATGCACGCACAAGAAAATAAGGAAAGTGTTGTCCATATATGGAACTATTTCTGAAAATAATTATACTGCTGAGTCAGTGGGCGTGATTGATTATGTAGGGTCCAGGTGGCACGTTCAGTTCAGTGCTGGGCATGTCATTCGTGTCAGGTCGGCTGCCCAGTACAATCATTATGAGGAAACCTTATGTTCACTGGTTTTTTCAAGGGTGTGAGAATTCAGCTTTTTAGCTGATTTCATTTTTTTTGTTTAGATGTTGACCCTGAATTTTAGCTTTTCTGTGCACCTGCTGTGTACAACTGGATGGAGACTTCTTACATTTCAGCTTGTTGCTAGCTGTTTTCAGCTTTGATTTTACATGTAAGTGGCCACTCACTCACCCCTGTTTGTTTTTAAGTACTTGAAAGCTTGAATCAGTATGCAAATTAGAGGTCATGTTTTCCGTTATTTTAGGGCAGGAAAAATCCACACAAGCCAACGTCCAACTTACAAAAGAAAGTCAAATACCTACATGTATGTATCTATATAAGATGAAGAATATTGAAGAATGTGGAGCATGTACATGTATGTAATACTTTGAACAGTGGCAACTTGCAGTGGCCATTTGGCATAAAAATTTGCTTATGCTGGCAATATAAATAGTAAAACTGGTAAAATAAAGATCAGAACATGAACAACCATCAGATAACCAAGGGGACAGGAAGAGTGAAACGAAGTAGAGTAACATTCACCAAAAGTCACAAGCATCTGGCATTTAGAATGTTGATGAAGTAAGGGATGCACATCGCTAATACTGCGTGGGTGATTTTGCACAATGGTAGAAAGGCATTGTGGAAAGGAAAAAGGAGCTAACATTGGCCTTTCTTCCATCCAAGGGTGCATTTCTACCATTGTGCCAAATCATTCATGCGGTATCGGCAATAAGGCTCAGAGGACTATGTTGGAAATGCTTGGTTCTTATGGGGCTTTCAGTTATTGATTGTCACTGTTCTGTAAGTTCCTACCATCACTTACTACTCATAGAAGGAAGCAAGTGGGGCGTTCTTAGATTAGTACCAAGTGCCTTGGCACACTTTATGCAGTGCACTACTCTCGCTTTACCTTTTTGTTCTCAGTTGCTCAAAATTTCACAGTTGAACATCACTGGGAATAAATATACTGAATTGGTTGTGATGTATGAAAGTATTCAAGTATGTTGAACACTGTTTTACGCATTAATCATTTGTTGACCCCCATTGATCAATGCTAAATAAAGTGAGCCATAACTATCAATTTAAAAATGGCATGACATGTCACTCAAGGGATCGTATTGAAAACAAGAAGTAAACTTGCTGGTCTAGGCCTTGACTAAAGTGTCAGGTCAACACTGTCTTGGTACATGTACATTACTGCTAGGGGACCAGATGGTGGACCAGCTCATGAGCCCCCATGACCAAAGGATGTAAAATCTACCTAGAGGTTAACCCTCCTAAGGTTTTACAGCACAAATGTGCACGAG